TTTGGAGATGGGTCGTCGGCGATCGTTTGAGTCGGGATTGTGTTCTGGAGGTGCGGTGTCGACGATTGTGGAGCTGAGCGGCTTCGCTTATGATTCGGAGTCGTCGGTAACCGTCGGGCTATGGTTGACTGATTGGCTGGGTTTTTTTTCTCCGAGTAGCAGTGGGGTTGTTCGTCTGGACGAGGGTAGGGCCAACCCGTGGGTCTTCGATTCAGTTAGGCGTTCTCTTGCAGTTGCTGGGTCGGGATCTTGGGCCGCAACTCTGCCATTGTTGTGTTCGGTGTGACTTTCTGCTGTGGAAAGGGCTCTCGTTGCTGTTTTGTCTTGTCTAGTTTCGTTTTGTTTAGTGCGTGTTGTTATGTGTTGTCAAGTTTCGTTTTGTTCGTTTTGTGTTTTTGGTTTGGGCCGTTGGCCTCTGTGCGCCCGAGTGTCACTATGTGCGCCCGAGTGTCACCTTATTACCCTGTTGGGGTCCGACACTCGAGTATTACCCTGTTGGGGTCCGACACTCGGGTATTACCCTGTTGGGGTCTTGTAGTTGTTTTAGTTGTTTGTGTTGTTGGTTGTTTAGTTGCGTCTGTTTTTTATTCTAGCGTTGCTAGCCGGATTCTAGGCGGTCTTCTGACCTGTCCTCCCTCTTTTTTAGCTGTTGGCTGCTGTGTATTCAGCCGTTGGCTGCTGTGTATTCGCACATTTGTGCTTTTTAATTTATAATACTTCTATCGTTTCGAAAAAAAAAAAAATGCAACCTTTCCAATTAAAGCGAATTCTCATGGCTCTGAAAACCTTAAATTAACACTAAATTTCATAGATAGATAAGGATCATTCATTTTTTAGATAAATTAAAGTTAAAGTTCAAACATCTCGTAAAATTGGACAGTAATCTAGCCTCACATAATAATACAAATCCTTCTCAGCAGATCTTCTCTCGGGGATAAATGGTGAATAAATTGAAAATTGAAGAAGTGTAGATGAGAATGAGATTGTTTAACTATAGGGTATAAAAGTTTTATATTAATTGGGAATTTATTGTGCATCATGTTGTCTTGTATGTTGTTGGGGAATTATAATTAATGGGGGCGTGTGTGTTGTGTCATGACTCATGACTCATGAGTTTAGGCTTTTATTGAAAGCTACATGTAAGCAAGTGTTCATATTTTTTTTTTTTTAAACGGTAGGTATCTTCACCTTCACTCCGAGACTTCACCACGAATTGTCAGCCCCCACAGGATACAAGCCTAAGGGATCCACACCTAGAGGTGTAGGAATAATCCAGAAGGAGTGAGGTGCCCGATTCCCAGTCCCCACAATAGTCAGGTTCAATCTCCTAACATTCGCTTTCACAGAGAGTTTCACCTTCCAACTAAACCAGTGGACTACATATAGGATTTTGTGTCAATATATTTTTTATAGTTTTATATTTTTTCAAATGAAAGAAACTGTAATATATATATATATATATATATATCTTCACTATATATAATTCCCGAATGCGCTGAGCCTACGTGGCTGTTTCTGGTGCTTCGGAATCTTATTTGGCGAAGAATCGTGCTTCGTAATTAGGTTTGGATAAATCATATTGATATATTAATAATTAATAATCTAGGTTCGGGTATTCCATAAATATTATTTAGTTAACTTAGATATTTTAATATCACTTTTACTAATATAACCCTTTAATTTTTTGTAATTTTACATAGTGAGGCACTAAGTGACTAATATATCCCTGAATTTTGATTTGTTTCATTCAATAAGTTATTGAATTATAAATGTACTTTAAAAGTTGATAACTTTTGTATTTCTTATCGGTTTTACATATATAATATATCAAATTAATCATCTTTTCATGATCTTCGATTTGACATCTATATTGTATATATGAAATAAATAAATTATACTTATCTTTATAATAATAAAAAATAATACTACCTCCTATTTTTAATAGATGTCGTTTTGAGAAGTTGCACATTAATTAAGAATATATTTTTTGTCAATAATACCCTTATTTAATGAAGATAGAGATGAATGTTTTGAGAAAAAGTAAAGAGTGAATATGAAAAGACGTAATGTATTTATTAGTTAAATGAGGGTAATAATGGAAAAATATGTACAAAATATCCAAAACGACATTTATTTAGTAAATAGTTGATAAAGCTAGAATGACATTTAAAAAAAAAAAGGAGGGAGTAATATTTATTAAAATTCATTAGAAAAATAACATTATTTCTTAATTTATATATTTATATGTAATGTAGTTATATATTGTAAGTTAAAAAAATTAGTATAATATAACACAAGTAAGTTGCACAAATAAAAAGTGTTATAATAAATATATAATAATATATATATTCTTATAAAAGATATTTAAATTTTCAAACTACTCTTTCTCATTAATTTTAGATTTTAAGAAAAAAAATTAGTAAGCACCCGTGTAATACACGGGTGTTGTACTAGTATATATATAATTGCTGACAATCTTCAATAAATTTTATTCAGCCATTAATTAATAATAATAGTGTTTCGTACAATAAAAGTATTTTACAATTTAATAAAGATATGCAACTTTTAATTACACGATTTACTTTGACATGTCCAATTTTTGATAGTGCCTATTTTTGTAAGGCTTTTTATATCCTAAAATATAAAATGTTTTTGTTTTTATTTTGATACTATATATATTTTGGTATAATATAAATACAATATTTTACAACTAATTGAGAATGTCTACAAATATTTTTATTTTCTATTGCAGTCATACAATAAAAATAATAAAAAATCAGATATTTCAAAAATACATAAAATATTTTGAAAAATCAAAACTCAAGAAATAAAATCCTTCAATGATCCTGCAATAAATTTAAAAAATTTAATATTATATGCATAAATAAAATTTATAACACTCTATGTTTAAATTTTAAAATAACTATCCTTATAATTTAAATATTATATGTATACAAATAATTTATAATATTTTTATGTATTTATGTGCAAATGTACATGAATACTAGTTGTGAATAAAAGTCCATAAATATACATGATAAGTTCCAAGTGGGAATTTTCATGCTATCATATGGTCCCTTGGTCAAAATTCTATTATGTCATATTCCATTGGTCATTGCATGACTGGTTCACTTCACCGAGTAATTGCTAAATTAGATAATTGATTTTAAAATTTGAAATATATATGTTTATCAATTTTATTTTAGAAATATATATATATGTGTATATATATTAAAAAGTACATTTAACTTCCAAAAATTTAATAATGTTGAGCCTCGTCATATATTGGTACCTACATATACATGTAATCGTAAATTATAAAACACACTTTTTTAAACAAATATAAATTGGCTAAATCAAACCGAATTGACCTTGCAGGGTCAATGTTTGATTTGGTCGAGTCACTCCGAGTTGAACCTATTCGCTCCCCCGAAAACTACTATACTATAGAATTCGTCGTGGGTAGGCCACTCTACATATGTCGTGATCAAGCCATGCACGCATCTCTGGGGGAGGTGACGAGATCCTTTGCAAGCCCAACAGGAAAGAAGTCGCTAAGTCCGCCATATGATTCGCTGCAAAATTTGCTTCCCTGTGCACATGCTCGATCATCTGAATGCTTATTTCATTGATCGGTCCGAATGATCCACCCAGGTCGTTTCCGATTTTGGGTTGTTCGGGTTTTTAATCATTGTATTCAACCTTATTCGATGTGCTTAATTCATGTTTTTTCACAACACACCTTGAATATTACCTACACATAACTGGTCTCTTGACCAAAATGGATATTCCTTTAGATTAAGGGGGGAAAATAAATGTGTTTTTTCTTTCTTTTTAAAAATATATGCTTGACAAGTGACAATTATTATTTTGTAGCTAAATTGAGTTCTTGCATGTATATTACTTATGGATTTGCTTGTCTTTCGTAAACGAGGTTCCATATTCTACCATATATATTTGCATAATTTTAAATAATTGTGATATATCTTGTCTTAATTAATTTTTTATTTTTATTTTTTATTTTTTACCTTACAATATATTGACATTTGAATGAATGGCCATGCATGATAGTCAACCGAATAAAAGATTTTATAGTCAACACTAAAATTAAAACCTCTGGTCTTAAGGGTACGTATTATATTGTTCAGACATTAATTTTCATGCACCTATATATATATATATATATATATATATATATATAT